TATATTTCAATATCAACACCAAATGGCTATTTAGAATGTAGATTAATCAAAATTTTCCAACTTATTGATACAAATGTTCCTAATTTAATAATTTAAAGTAGGTGATTTTGAAGTACACAGTTCATTTCTTTTTTTAAATCTATTACTTAACTAAAGAATGCTCCAATTGTTCAAAACTCTAGATTAAAAAATAAAGAAATAAAATTCTTGATCAAAATTTAATGCAAAATCCTTTGCATAGCAGGGTAAGTATCGCTAGTTATTTTAAAGTTATTTATTTATTTAAAGATAAGCTGAACATATGCTACATTATGTTGGATATTATGTTTGGATTTTAAAGATACTTTATTTGGTATTTTTTAGGAGTTTAGGTAAAATCCAAAAAGAAAAGAGAGTAAGGCACAGATAATATCGTACCATCAAATCTTCATCAATCTTCTTTAATTTTTCCTTCGTCTCTTGATCTTCAATACCCTTCATTTGACAAACAAAAAACAAATTAAGATAAAAAATAAATAAATAAATAAAGGCAAATATATGAAATAAAATGTTTGTAGCATTTAATTGTAATTGCTATTAATAGAAAGTGCATAAATTAAAGATCATCGATCATATATACCTCATCAATTACACCTATCTCTAAATCTAAACTCTCTTCATTTATTCGCCTCATGTAATCTTCACTAAAGGGTTTGAACATGTCAATAATTACGGGCATCTCACAGAAGGCCTTGTAAACTTCGCATTCCAACTGCATGCACAATTAAAACAGAATAGATGAGGATTTTTTGGGAATATAATTCAAGTAAACATCAATCATTCATAACAACATAGATACCTTTTTGTTTCCCACATATAAACTATCATATTATAGAGAAATAAATTCATCCAACTGAATTCTATAAATATATAATTCAAACAGAAATCTTTAATTACAAAGAAAAACCATCACTAAATTCAACTAATTAACTCATACCTGAGAATATACAAAATTAACCTGACAAACAATAAACAGAACTCTTAAAAGTAAAACTCAGAGCTAACTACTTGGACTCAAACAACCATCATCTGCCATTCTAACAGCCTTTTTATCTCATCTAGACACAAGGACAGAAACTGAACACAATCACTAATGGAAAAACATATACATGCAACACTTTCCAGCTTCCTCTTTAACCACACAAACTACTTGATGACCTGAACGAATTCAAAAATTCTGCTTTTCTCCCATTGATCATTTCTATCATTCCAAATCAACCACAAAATAATTAACCAAGAAAACTAATGTCCCAACCTTAACATTTATATATACCTATCAAACATCCCATAGACAAAATGTAGACAACAAGTATCAACAGAATCAGTGCAAAACAGAGCCAAATCCCCCCCAAGAG